CGGGGAGATGTAGTAAGGAGGAGCAGGTGTGGGGGGATGACAGCTGCTGATAGACAGGTCCGATCTCAGAAGCACGTTGCTGGAAGACTTCTCAGGTAAGCCTGCACTCCCCCCACATGGTGCTCTATAATGTATTGCTGGGATTTGTATTTCTCTGTAGCTGATGGTACATTGTGCTGTATATTATACAAAGGAATACAAATCCCAGCAATACAGTGTACACTGTATGTATAATGTATTGCTGGGATTTTGTTGTACTCCTCTATAGCTGGTGATATTCTGCATTGCGCTGTATAGAGGACTACAAGTCCCAGCAATAATACATTATACAGCGCAATGCAGAATACCACCAGCTGTAGAAGAGTACAACAAATCTCAGCAATAGTACATTATAAAGTGGTACAATGCTAAATACCACCAGCTATAGAGGACTACAAAACCCAGCAATAGTACATTATACAGCGCAATGCAGAATGCCGCCATCTATAATGTACTATTGCTGGGATTTGTTGTATTCCTCTATAGCTGGCGGTATTCTGCATTGTGCTGTATAATGTGCTTTTGCTGCGGTTTGTAGTGCTCTATAGCCGTTGCCATTCTGCATTCATTGCTGTATAATTTTACACTTTCCATTTCACTATATTGCACACCACACTATCTTTTTTTCTTTTTTACTTCCACCGCTCCAAGCTTGCTCCTGTGATGGACTACAACCTCAATACAAACTAGTAGTCCTATCAATGGAGCCATTTTTTAAACTTTATTTTATAGTTTATCCGATTAATCGAACTTAATAATCGGTTAACTAATCGATTTTGAAAATAGTCGTTAGCTGCAGCTCTAGTTATAGGTGTGATGAACAGTCAGTTTACATGATATGTATACACAGGGTGCCCCAGGTGTGAGCTTATTTATTATTCCAGAGTGAGGTTTGTCATGCACAGCATATCTTTAGTTGGCATGAGCTGCAAAGTTTATTTTTGACTTTCTTGGATGTCCTTCAAATAGTACACGGTGTGCACTTGCATTTCATATCTAGATAGTACCTTCAATTCTTTAAAATGATTCCGCCAACTTTAATCTTCGCTATAATCTTTATCCAATATGAAAATTTTATAGGGCTATACACACTTTTTTGTTTGGGAAACACTATTTGGATGAATGGCCCATTCACACCGGATCCATTTTTTCAACGGCTGCTAATTAAAGGGCACCGAAAAATGAATGGGTGTGAATAGGGCTAGTTCACATACCCTTTTTTTTTTTTTTTTTTCTTTCAGAGCAACAGGTGCGGTGTGAACTAGCCCCAGTCACAGCCATTCATTTTTCAGTGCCCTTCCGTTAGCATCTGTTGGAAAAACTGATCAGAACGCAATGAATCGTAAGGTACAATTGCGAGTAGGGCTGCAACTAATGAATAATTTCATAATTAGTTGGCTGATTTGCGTTTGGGGTGCCATTGAAATTAATGGCACTGCACCTCCCGCAGCAGAATTTGTCAGGCCGAAACCGAACATTCCTTTTTCAAATTGCAATATCCAATAGCTGGCTTGCTATTGCACCTGTCCACTGCTTGCTGTGCCCTCCTCCCAGCGTGGATGAGTGTTGGGGGAGCCAACTAATCGATAATGAGAATAGTTGACAACTATTTTTAATCGATTAGTTGGTTGCAGCCTTATTTGCGAGCCAACGGATCTTCTGTTGATTTGCGATTTTCCTTCTGATCCTGCTGTGACTGCACCCTAAATATTTGTTTTACTATATAGACATGACTTACACATGTCCTGCTTTTCTAACACTGTCCTGTGCACAGGACCTTTTGCTGCTGCTCAAGATGCAACAGAAGATGAAGAAGCAATTGAGGACTCTGTAGTTGAAGATGATGATGATGAGGCTGAAGTAGAAGAAGATGAAATAACAGATCTGGTAACTTTTGTTAAAAGCATACTTTGTACAACGTCTGGGATCATTTTTATTTTTTTTGTACTTTGATCCAATCAAGAGGCTTTACTGAATTCTTATGTTTCATTGTTTTTATGATTTGTAAGCATTCTACATTATCCCGTTTGTGTTCTTTTAAGCCTTGTTATACAATCACTTTTTCTGGATTTGCTGTACACAATGCAATTCTTCAAATGTTTGTTGTTTAACCAGCAAGGCTGCTAAAGATAAAAGAAAATCGTGTTTTGTGTATTTCTGGTTGATATAGTAAAACCTTCCTAGCACCCCTCATGTTCCCTCTGTGGCTGTGTTTTAAATTGTTAACATATGTATATACATTCTCTGGACCTTGTCCTTGTTTCAGAAGACATGCCAACGTGACATTTTGCTGTAGCCTTGCACTGCAGACATTTGTGATAATGTGGCAGCACTACAGGGGAGGAAGAAATTGTAAACCTATATGGGCCTGCTTACTCAATGAGTGACCGAGCAGGTGGAGGGGTTAGGTGGGTTTAGGGTTAGGTAGGGGGAAGATGCGTGGGTTGTAGATGATGCTAGTTACAGAGCAGTGAAGATGTGGATAGAAGAAGCGAAAGCTGGCCAAATACCTAATAATATTTTTTTTTTTTTATGGTCAGTGGAAAATCTGCAACAGATTCCTCCATCTACGCTAAACTGTGTGGATGGAGGAATCTCCCACTGGGCCAAGCTTCAGTATCTTGCTAGTCAGCCCCCCTGGCTGTCAAAATACCTGAACAATGCCTGCATCCAATCAGATTGATCAGATATTTTTACAGCCAGCGGGACCGTCTAGCAAGATACTGAAGCATGGCCCAATGGGGAGTTTCCTCCATCCACACAATTTGAAGGCCTCGTTCACACCAGTTGCAGTGTGTTCCGGCCCAGTTCTGGCCAGAACGCACTTCCTCGCATTGCGGCTGGCTAACTTTTTTGTGGGGCAGGAGGGGTGTGACGGTTTATTGAAGTGAAGGGCAGCGTAGCCACACCCTCCGGCCGCACGGGATCGCAAAGCATATTATGCCTGCGGTCTAGTCCAATTAAAATGCTGCAAGCACTATTTTGATCGGACCGCAGGCATAATTGCCTTCCGATCCCGTGCAGCCGATCGCATTGCGGTCGGAGGGCTGCCATTCACTTCAATGAACTGCCACACCCCCTCCTGCCCCACAACATAGTGAGTCGGCTATGGCACACTGCAGTGCGTTGCAGTGTGTTCTTACCAGAATCGGGCCGGAAGGCACTGCATGTGGTATGAACAAGCCCGAAGGGTAACATGAAAGTGTGGTATGCGATGGGCACTCTGCTATTGTTGCTGTCCTAACGCCTTTCATTTTCCGGCCTGCAAAGTTAGTTTTGTGGACTTCAGTGGGGCTGTGGCATGTGTAATAATCTATATATTTTATAACTTGCCCTAAAGCAAGTCTCCATGGATTTCATATATGCTGTTTTCACATAATACAAAAAGTGATTCTTGAGATCATATGCTGATCATATGTTTTATTGAATAAACGTGAGGTCCAGCAAACACCTTGATGTGTCTTGCATCGGTGCTTACTTATAGGGCACCTCATAAGGAGCTTTATTAGTAAATACTGTTCTGACATGCGTCATGGCATTTGCTGTAAACCCTCTGTACCACACTTTTATTCAAAAAATGCTCGGGTGGGTATGCTGTTTGAGGATTAATTTTTTTTTTTTGTCAATTGTGCTCAAGTTGTAGCCATCATGTAGCAATCATATATTGGTTTAATTACAAAAAGGTACATTTGTTAAGATAGGTGTTGGGTCTTTTATGTCTTTGTTAGAAAAGAAGCCTTGACCAAAGTGCTATTTATACTTTTTTTGATTCCACTCTGTTTTGTTCTGGAACTCTAGATTGAAGAAAAAGAGGAAGAAGAAGATTTGAGTTCTGGTGAACCGAAAGCTTCTCCCAATGGCGACACCACTATTTTGTTTGTTAAAGGAGAAGGTAATTTAAATTGTCTACCACATTCTGTGAATGTAAAGGTGCCCATACACTGCACGATTATCATGCGAGAATCGCGGGAAACCCCGCAATCGTATGATAATCGCAAAGTGTATGGAAGGCGTGCGACCGTTTCTATTGTACGGTCGCGCGTCTTCCGTCAAACAAGCAGGCTGGAAAACCCGCCGGGAATCGTACCATTCTCGGTGAGTTAGTGGCCTGTTTGTTTGACAACTGCCGAACGCGCACACTGCCGGTTTGCAGTCATCAGAAGCCCGTCCCTCAGGGGGGCTACCTTGCGATGATCGCAAGTACCATCTGCCTGTCCAAGATGGGCAGATCGCACGTTTTTTTAATTACTTTACAACCCTTGCAAGACGGAAGTCTTGCGAGTGTTGTAAAGTGTAAGGGTTTCCACCTTAAGGGCTTCTGCAGATCATCATCGTTTATCCCTGTATTAACTTCACTCTGGCTTAAGCTGGCCATGCACCTATAGATTATCTGCAGATTTTCTATGGTCAGATGGAAAAAGTGCAGGGGGAGGAATCTCCCACTGGCCAAGCTTCACTATCTTGCTGGCTGTCAAAATACCTGAACAATGTGATTTGGATGCAGGCATTGTTCAGGTATTTAAGGATCCACAAAATCCAGGGTGTAAATAGAGACAATATCTGGTCAAGCTGCTTCTTTCTGATGAATGTGTTGCAACGTACAGCGTGACCTGCTACCATGCACGGTGTTGCACTGCTTTCTTAAAAATGGTGCTTGTTTTGTGTTTTTTCTTTTGTCATTTTGGTTTCTGTGCAGTCCATTCAAATGAATGGCCTGTATTAAAGAGAACCTGTTACCATCACATTCCAATTAACATGCTCACTAAAGCATATGCTGTACTGTATTTGTGTTTGTTTTTTTGTCCCTGCTGTTCTTAAAACAGACCTTTTTTTTTTTTTAATCACCTGACATTGCGAAGGCTTTGCCATATTTGGGAAAATATCAGGAATCTAAACAGACCATTGACATTTCCCTTTTGAAATAGAACAAGTAATTGAGAACGCAGTCTTTTCTGCAGCCCCTGTTATGAATGAGGAGGAAAGAACAGTACGGAGGCTTATTCATTCATTCACAATCTGGAAATAGTACGTTTTTTACAACCAGTCATGAATGGATAGAAGCCTCTTTAGTGAGCTGCTTCTATCCACTCAGAAACTTGTGAATGAACAGGAAGTAATGTAACGCACCTTCTGTTTATTCATAACTGGGGACACATACTATGTCAGTTGTTTACAAACATTGCAGTGATCAGTAATCACTCCAGTGTTTGCTCTGCACATGAAGGATTGTTAAATATTATACATATTTACTAATCCTCCGCTCGGCATCCTGAAGTGACAGCGGCTCTCACCCCCCCAAACCAGTGAGTAAGAAAGGAAAAAAAACTTTTTATTTTATTTTTTTTACCCAAATCCACTGAAGAGCTTTAACCTCCTCTCTCTGACACTGGCAGAAGTGATACCGCATGTGCCTGTTACTATTTAAACAGATGCTTGCTGTATCTGGAATCTGGTTGGATGAGCAAAATGTCTTAAACAGGAAGGGGTGGGGAAAATTTAGATGGGGGCGATGAGTTTAGCCTTGCCAAGGGCAGCACAAAACCAAAATACACCACTGATTGCAGTATGAGTGGGCCCACTGCTAGAATGTAAAATTTGCTCTGGTCTATAAGAAGTATACAGGTGCCTGAGCCAAGGTGGCTAAATCTACCACAGTTTAACAGAAAGTTTGTTTCCAATTCTGAAACGTGTATGCTCACCTGGAAAACTGCTTACAATTCTTTTGTTACATTTCTGCAAAATTTTCAAAATGTTTGTTTTTTCCAGACTTCCCTGCCAATGAAATTGTGAAGTTCATGGTAGGCTTCACAAATAAGGGTAGCGAAGACTTCATTGTTGAATCGCTGGACGCCTCCTTCCGTTATCCTCAAGATTACCAGTTTTATATCCAGAATTTCACTGCTTTGTCATTGAACACTATTGTTCCTCCTCAAAGACAAGCCACCTTTGAATACTCCTTCATTCCTGCTGAGCCAATGGGTGGTCGTCCCTTTGGGCTGGTTATCAATTTGAACTATAAGGATGCCAATGTAAGTTTCCGAAATGTATAGCAAGAGCCAAAGTATCGTGATTTTAAATCAGAATTTACAGAGATTGTTTATCACATTTAATAACTTTTTGAATTGATGTTGATTTTATATTTTTTGTTTTCTTTTTCCAGGGAAATTCATTCCAAGATGCTGTTTTTAATCAGACTGTCACCATTATTGAGAGAGAAGATGGTCTGGATGGAGAGACGTGAGTTTATACATCACAGCTCTTACCAATGTAGAGAACCTGATTTATATCTTGCCCCTAAGAACAGAAATTGTATAAAATTGTAATCTGACGCTGCTTCATCCATCATAAAGGTACAATATCTAATGATCAAAGGGACAGGATGTGGACTGTTTGTGTTTGTTGTATACTTAAAAGCTTTAAATAATTGCTTTAAAAAAAAAAAAAAACCTTTCTCCCAAATTCCTTTTTTGTATATATTTGTCCTACCTGATATCTCCGAGCTTACTATGAGACTAGTGGCACAAACTTTGGGATCACAGGAAATAATATAGTGAGCTACATGTATGAACTGTGGCATCAATAGGAAAATAGCAGAATTGCCCTTAGTAGGCGGTAAGGCCATTCCTTTTTTTTTTTTTCCAGGTGGGTTTAGGGATTCCTGCTGCATCCAGGGATAGTGATTTGATTCCTAACCGCATGTAATGGTATCGCGCTGATATTGCATACGATTTACATGCGGCGCGCCGGTGTTCAAATGCAGCGGCTGCCACCTGATCATTAACTTTAATGGGTGACAGCTGCCACTTGTAAACGGCAGATTAGGGATTTCTGCATCAGTCGCACCTAAAATATAGCTGTGAATGGGGCTTCCGATGACCGCAATGCTGAACGGGTGCGCACACCGGCCCGTTCGGCATTTGTCTTCCGAGCACCGTTCTAACCAGCCGAGAATCGTACGATTCCCGGCTGGTTTTCGAACATGCTGGTTCGACAGAAGACGTGCGACCGTACAGTAGAAACTGTCGCACGTCTCCGTTCACACTGCTCGATTATCGTACGAAAAAACGATCGCATACGATTATCGTACGATAATCGTGCAGTGTATGGGCACCTTTACAAACAACCTGGAGTGCCTCAATATTAACAGATTCACTTCTTTTTTCCAGGTGTTACTTCTGTAATGACGACTAATTAATAATGCGCATTCATTTTTAAGTCTTTTTGTTTTCTAGAATCTTCATGTACTTGTTCCTCGGTGGACTTGGCTTACTTGTGACTGTTGGTCTACATCAGCTTCTGGAGTCCAGAAAGGTATATGCAAATTGTTTTATCTGCCGCATGTCTGAGTATTAAAAGAATTATCCTCACACATTCCCCATTTTAATCTTAATCAGTACCTGTTGGGTCTCTTGACACAAAAAAAGGTGACCAAGACATTGTTATAAGAGGTGACTGTGGACTGAACAATATTCAGCATTTTGGAGAAATCGGCCCCATCAGTTGATTAGGATTTAGGGTCTATATTCTCTGAATTCTGTCTCAAAAATAATTGGCTCCACAGGAATGCATACATACATACATACATACATACATACATACATACATACATACATACATACATACATACATACATACATACATACAGAGAGATATATTGTATCTTTTATTTATTTTCCTCCCCCTCACTTTGAGTAGCACGCATCTGTCACTTGTTTTCACTGTGTCTCTGACTTTCTAGTCAGAGACACAGTGAGGCTGCCATGCTGGTTATAGGGCTACATTACATAGCCGCTGAACTAAAAGAAGTTTACAAGTTAATAGAGAAAATAAAATGGCAGAAAGGGTTATGCTGTAGCAACGTACAAATTGGTGTCTAAAGCATGTTTTTTGTTTCTGCAGAGAAAAAGGCCAACTCAGAAAGTGGAAATGGGTACATCTAACCAAAATGATGTGGATATGAGTTGGATTCCTCCTGAGACTTTGAGCCAGATCAGTAAGTATACAGATCCTCTCGGTCTTCCTTCAGTTAAGTTAGCTGTCCCATTAAACTATAGTATGAGGGCTTGCAGGTGGTCACTGTGGATAAGAATGATCAGTGTGCGTTGGCCTGTCTTGACAGCTTTTAGCATTGCCGAATATTATTATTTTTCCCCCACCCAATAAACCCCCGCACAAAACTGATACTTCGGATTGAAGATGCTTTTGCATTGTTTCATTCTATTGGGAAGATTCTCTGGGGACCCCATTTAAAAGATTCTGGTAGTTGATATGAGAAAAGTGTCTGTTTTTTAGTTGGGTAGTAGTAGGGCTACAGCTAACGGTTATTTTCATAATCGACTAGTTAGCCGATTTATTAAGTTCGATTAATCGGATTTTTAAAAAATGGCTCCAGTGATGGACTACTAGTTTGTATTGAGATTGTAGTCCATCACAGGAGCAAGCTTGGAGCGGTGGAAGTAAAAAAAAAAAAAACAAAGTGTGGTGTGCAATATAGTACATTATACAGCGTCGCAATGTAGAATACCAGCAGCTATAGAGGAATACAACAATAGTACATTATACACCTGCTACAGAGGACTACAAATCCCAGCAATAATACATTATACGGGGTGTTTAATGTATTATTGCTGGGATTTGGTGTTCCTCTATAGCTGCTGGTGTTCTACAGTGTGCCGCTTTTTATTTTTTAAACAGGAAACATTAAAACAGGTTCCCCTTACCTGTTTCTGAACCCTTGTAAGTCGTGTGTGCGGCTTGTGTGGTGGGTGCGAGGTGGGCGTGGCGTCCGCGGAACCCATATTCCACCACTGCACCCCCCATACACCTATTCCACCACTGCCTCCCCACACAGCTGTTCCACCACAGCACCCCCACACGCCTATTCCACCACTTCACACCCATACACCTGGTCCACACTGCACCCCCATACCCCTATTTAGCAGCGTGCGACTCAGGCCGCGTGAGGAGCCCCGAACAGGCAAATCAATCGTTTAGTCGACGATAGAAAGCGTTGACAACGTTTTTATCGACCATCGATTAACTGTTGCAGCTCTAGATAGTAGTTATAATGATGTATAGGAGTTAACGCAGACCTATACCAAACAATACATACCCTTAAAGTGATACACAAGAGTGATTAAATCCAGTACTATTCTGTAGAAACCAGTGCGGTAAGTTCCCTGCTGGTCATATTACCAAATGGTGTAATAACTTGAATCCTGGGGGTGGGGCACTTTTATTGTGGTCATAATTTGAATCCTGGCACAATAGGGTTTTGTTTCATTTAACAACAAACATCAATATTTGTATCTTTCCCTTTTACTCCTCCTATTGCTCCATGTATCAGTGTGGAATGTAATTAGGGAGCTGGATGTGAGGCCATGCTTTTGAGTGTCTTATGACAGAAAAACATCTATGGATGAAAGATTGTTTGCAAAAAAAATATTAATTACAGAAACTGTCTAAATGTTCTAGCTCTGCCTTGTTCAATCCTTCTGTCCCCTTTCTAACATCTGTACACTAAGCATTGAGTATTGTGATCCAGTGACTTTCTTTAGGGCCTTCAAGGATTCTTTTTTTTTTTTTTCCCCAATTCAGGCCAATTCACACGTCTGTCTGCTAAAATGCTGCATTTTATCAGAGGGGTTAATGCATTGTGCTAACTCTGGCACTGTGTGTTTGTATTGCACACTGTCAGAGCTGTCACTCTTTCAATTTTTTTGTTTGTATCTGTAGTACACAATGGGGGGAATTTATCAATACTGGAGCAGCTGTGGCAACCAATCAGCTTCTCTCTTCAGTTTGTTCAGTTAAGATTTGAAAAAGAAAGAGAGAAGCTGATTGTAAACATCTATGGATGAAAGATTGTTTGCAAAAAAAATATTAATTACAGAAACTGTCTAAATGTTCTAGCTCTGCCTTGTTCAATCCTTCTGTCCCCTTTCTAACATCTGTACACTAAGCATTGAGTATTGTGATCCAGTGACTTTCTTTAGGGCCTTCAAGGATTCTTTTTTTTTTTTTTCCCCAATTCAGGCCAATTCACACGTCTGTCTGCTAAAATGCTGCATTTTATCAGAGGGGTTAATGCATTGTGCTAACTCTGGCACTGTGTGTTTGTATTGCACACTGTCAGAGCTGTCACTCTTTCAATTTTTTTGTTTGTATCTGTAGTACACAATGGGGGGAATTTATCAATACTGGAGCAGCTGTGGCAACCAATCAGCTTCTCTCTTCAGTTTGTTCAGTTAAGATTTGAAAAAGAAAGAGAGAAGCTGATTGGTTGCCATGCACAGCTGCTCCAGTTTTGATAAATACCCCTCTGTGTGAACATGATTTAGGTCCCTGCACAGCAGTGATGTGTGGTCAGAGGAGGCAGAGCCTCACCTAGAATTATGGAGGAAAAAGCTCTCAGCTTCAAGTCTGAAGCTGAGAGCTTTTTCTTCATTCATTTTCTTCTAACAGGTTACAGAGCAGGGAAAGCCTCCCCGCTGTGTAACCTGTTATGGATGAAGCGCTGCCTGTTAATTACAGGCAGCGCTGCATCCGGCTTTTGACAGATAGTGAGGGACAGGGAGGCTCCTCCCTTCCTCCACACTAGCTTGGGGGGGGGGGTCTTGTCTGGTGGTTTCGGCCAGCGGGGGCAGGTGAATACCTCGCCCGGTATAAGATACCGCACGTCACTGCTGCACAGTAACCTGCAGTGGCATCCAATGTGCTGAGAAAAAAAAATGTAGCATGTCTGCATTTTTCCGCAGCATGCCGCCCAGAACATGTGTTGTGAGAATGGGACGCATAGAAAACAATAGTGGGGACCTGTGTAGTGATGTGCGTTTTACCACACCAGATCCATAGCGTATGTATGGGCCCCAATACAAAAGCCTTCCATTGTTAACTATTGTCTTTTCTATAGTCTATTGTCTATTCTATATTCTCATACATTTAGCTTGTTCCTGTTTCTTATTGCCGTCTGTCCTGTAATTGCTTTATCTCCCCTCTAATACATCTTGCTGTCTTTTTTTTTTTTTTTTTTTTTTTGCTTCCTTGCAACTTCAGTGCAAAGTAGACGAGGTGAGACCACTTGATTTTTCCCTTTCTAAGTATTGTTCACTTGTGTGTGTGCTTGAGAGCTGACCTGTGATGGAACTGTTGTAAGTGGAACTCTACCACTTTTCCCCCATTCAATGTACACTAACTGCTGTCTGACTCCAGCAGGGAGATTTCACTCATGTCATGGTAGGTCTCCCCACTGGAGTCATGAGCAGAAATCATGACCCTGCAGGGGATCTACTCTGTGCGAAGAAGGGCTGGAGTTCCACTTAAGATCTTTCCATGAAAATAATTGTGAAGAATGGAAGTAACTCTTAAAATAAAATCTCATTATTACAGAAGTAGATTTTTAACAAAGTGTGTGCCTCATACAACTAATTCTCAGGTAGCTTGTATTGCTGTATGTGGATATGGTTTGTATTGAAACACGACTGGAACCCATGAGATGACCCCTGGAAGCATGCATGTCTTTAGAATCCGTCATGTGTTTGTCACATTAATGTTCCTCGCACTGATATGCTAATGACCGTCTAGGTTGTCGCCATTCATGACACTAATTTATTATGAAACGCTGTTCTAGCTATAGTGAGAAACCTGCACAATTGGTAACTTGTGTAGAAATCTGACAGATGACTATTACAGGACAAGTACGAGGTATCGGTTGGACAAGTATGCATCTGATCCGTACTTATATAAAAATGTATAATGTACATTACATGCATAAGTATGTATAATATACATACACAAAATTTCCAACTATATTCCTAAAAGTACTTGCTGCCCCTTGTCCAGAAATGGCGCAGCTACCAAGAAACTAAGGTGCTCTCAATGGGCCATGGGTTGGTAGACGGTCCTCAGCCTTGGCTAAAGGTTGGTGAAGCTGATCTCTAAGGTGGCTGATTAGAACGGACAATGCTTGATTTACAAAACATGGCTGTAGAATCCTTCATTTTTTGTTGTTTTTGTCTACAACACTTTAACAGCTACTTTCTTTTCTTTCTTTTTCCACCTTTTTTTAATAGACAAAGCTTCCCCAAGAAGATCTCCACGTAAACGAGCCCAGAAGCGATCAGCAGGATCCGATGAATAAAGAGACTGCTCGGCAATCTATACTGTCCACTAGTGCTGCCCTCTCCTGACCCAGGGTGGATAACATTTGACATCCATAATGGCAAACTGGAGTGGGAAACAAATCATTGATAAACATTCAGACTGCAAAAACACATTAATTCCTCCCCCATTTTTTTGTTTAATCATCAGAGAACCTCTAGTCCAGAATATCCTCATACAGTGCACCTACCAGGATCTTACATTGCAGCCCTGGGGACACCGCGGTGAAGTCCTAGGCTATGCCTTCACATAATCTGACTGGTGCATTTTCTGAGAGAAATGTTACCTGTTTTTTTTTTCGTTTTGTTTTTCATTTCCAGTTGGGCATAAGTAGAGACTTGTGCTTACATCCGTATGCCTGTGATCTGGAGGCCTGGTCACACACAGTGCATTGTGCTGCTATATAATACATGTAGGGCAGGGAAGGAAAAGTACTGACCTTTTTTTTGGCCTGTCTGTTTGCAGCTTATGCACCATCTTCACCATTGTGTATTTGTGCTAAAACTTCAAGAAGAAGTGTGCACTATGGATATCTTGGTTTGGGTATTGACTGGTTTGTGTGGAATATTATACAAAGGGTTTTAAAAAGGTGGTCATATAAATTGGTAAAGTAAAAACGTCTAAGTGGGTGGGCAGATGGCTGTACAAAAGAGGGAAGCTGTATTTTAAATTTTTTTTTTTTTTGTAAATGGACAAAATGTCTTCAAGCTGTCTGCCTGCAAGTGTACAAAAGAATAAATTCTTAAATAAAAAAAAATACTTTTTCCTAATTTGCTTAGCTTGTTTTTATATTTTTGTGTTCAGGACATGAATGTAAGTACTTTCTGTGGCTGGACACCATTGTGGGGATAGCCTGGATGTGACCTTCGGATACCAGGTTGCTTGTGAAGTGCTTTCCAGACTCTGTTCTGGTAGCGCGATTTCCTGGGCCAGAGCCACTGGCGGTGCTTGCCCTGCCTCAGAAGACTCTTGGTGCTATGTCAATTACATAGGTCACATCTCTGATGCTTGGCATTCCAGGGCTATAAACTAGAGTTTCACTACTTGCCTCTTCCTCTGTCAATCCACAAATTAGCAGATCTCCATTTGAGCCCTTTTGGCTCTTCTGGTTCAGGGTGTCATTGCCCCAGTTCCTGTGGCAGAACCCTTTTGAAGGATTTCACTCTAACCTTGTCACCGTTCCCAAAGCCGGAGGGGGCATCCACCCCATCTGGTATCTCAAAGCGCTGAGCAAACTAATTTTGTGCTCAGAAATTCTGCATCCACGGGGGGGTAGGGGGTCTGTCATCTCCTCCCTACACCAGGAAGACTATTTTTTGCTTTTGTGGACATTGAGGTGCTTTACTTGGCCTAAACTATTCAGACGTTAAAACATTTCGGGTGGATACTGGACCCTAAGAAAGTGTCCCTGGAATTTACTCTAGTTTTGGGTATTGGGTGTTTAGTCCTGGAAACTGGCTGGAGTGTTTCTTCAACAGGAAAAACCTGAGACTCCCCGACCTAAGACTCAAGTTTTACAGTCCAGGAGTCGTCTGACTCTGCTTTTGCATAAGAGTCTTGGTCTTGAAGGTATCTTTCTTTGAGGCAATCCCATTTTCACTTCAGACCTCTGCAACACAACATTATGTCATTGTAGTCTTTTTGGGACCTTAGACAGATTCCTTTGGTACCAGGTTGTTCTGGCTTTGTGGCTCAGAAATCCAGCACTGCAGTCGGATGTCCCTTCCTTCTGGTCAATTGTCGTGAGGGATGCCAGCCTGTCAGGCTACGGAGGAGCCGTGTGTGTGTGTCGAATGCTCTCAGAAATCAGTGTTAATAGTTTATTTTGATCAATTAACTAAATGAACAGAAGAGAAATCCAAATCAATATTTGATGTGACCACCCTTTTGCCTTCAACACAGCATCCAGTCTTCTAGGTACACTTGCACACAGTTCTTGAAGGTACTTGGCAGGTAGGTTGTTCCTAACATCTTGGAGAACTAACCACAGATCTATTGTCCAATCCTTCTGTCTCCATGTAATCCCAGACAGACTTGACTTTGACATCACATCTCTGGAGGCCAAACCATCACTTCCAGGAGTCCTTGTTCTTTTTTACGCTGAAGATAGTTCTTAATGACATTGGCTGTATGTCTGGGGTGGTTGTCCTACTATAGAACACATTTGGGGCCAATCACATGCCTCCCTAATTGTATGGCATGATGGATAAGTATCTGCTTGTATTGCTCAGCTTGGAGGACACCATTCATCCTGACAAAATCTCCAACTCCATTGGCAGAAATGCAGCCCCAGACTTGCAAGAAAACTCCACAATGCTTCACTGTTGCTGCAGACACTCATTATTGTACCACTCTCCAGACCTTCGATGAACAAACTGCCTCCTGCTACAGCCAAATATTTCACATTTTAACTCTTAAATCCAGAGCACCTGCTGCTATTTTTCTGCACCCCAGATCCTATCTGTTTGTGCATAGTTGAGTTGCTTAAGCTGGCCATACACCTATAGATTATCTGCAGATTTTCTATGGTCAGATGGGAAAAACAACAAATTTCTCCATCTACACTAAACTGTGGATGGAGGAATCTCCCACTGGGCCAAGCTTCAGCATCTTGAAAGTTGACCTGCCTGGCTGTTGGAATACCTGAACAATCTGATTGGATGCTGGATAAAGGTTGTTGTACAAGCTATTGAATCATAAGGTGTACTTAGGTTTTTCTCACATGACTTCTCCATTTTTGGCTTTCTTTGTAAAATAAATGACGCGGTGTAATATGTTGGGTTGTTCATAAGATTTTTTTTTTTTCTTTCATATGTCTCTATACTTAAAACCATAGAATTGAGTCTCGGTTGTCGGAACATTTTGATTTTACCTGGTCCATGGAGGCTTTGCAATATCTAGGGATTAAACTTACACCTGTCTTTTTACAACTATATAAGAAATTATATACCCCTATTTCACCAACTCCGGGAGGATATGTCTCAATGGGACTCCTGTAATTTGTCATGGCTGGGTCGCATTCATGCACTCAAAATGACGCTGCTCCCCAAGATCCTATATTACTTGCGGGCTCTACCCATAGCTATACATAAGCCAGATCTTTTGAAATTACAATCTTTATTAAATTTGTTTGGCATGGAAAACATCCTAGACTTTCGAAAAATGTACTGCACCGTTCTAAACGGACAGGGGGTTTGGGTGTCCCCAATCTCTTGCAATACTACAAGGCAGAGCGGGTGGCTCAGCTTCCCTCTGTGTATGACTAGGGATATAAACCAGATTGGATCCTAATGGAATCTCTCTGCCTCAGGTACACCAATTGATGCCTTGAAGTGGATGTCCCTGAGGCTGAGGCCGATCATTATGGCCCCGACTTTGTCTTGTTCTATGATGGTATGGGACTCATTTCAAAGGGGAGGTGGGTTGGTGTTGCCTCACACTCCTCTGGCTCCTGTCTTCCACAATCCTAATTTCCCCCCAGGGGGATCTCCTGAAGCGTTCCATTGGTGGCAAGACAAAGGTCTGTACCTCATAGCACAATTCTTTAAAGGTCGCTAGCCACTTTGGCCTACTGTTGGGAGGTTTTGCACATGCCATTTTCGGAATACTTTCACTACAGACAATTGTTACACTTTTTGGGTTCTTTGAAAACACCCAATGTGATGTCTCCCTTTAGAACAACCTACGCACAGTGGTGTCTTGGAGCCGGGGGCCAGAGGGGGGGAGTTTTGCTGCTCTATTCCCTCCTGGTAGAATCTGAAAGTAAATTACCCTATATGTTAGCTTGGGAACAAGACCTGGAAAAGGTTATTCATCTGGATGCCTGGCATCAATGTTGTTCCCGTGTGTCATCTGGTTTACTCAATATTTCACTAATAGAAGCTAATTATAAGGTTTTATCTAGGTGGTATATGGTTCCTGCCAGACTAGCGAGAATATACCCAGAGGTTCTCCTCATTGTTTTAGGGGATGTGCACACTCGGGAACGATATATCACATATGGTGGGAATGCCCCAAATTGAGACCTTTTTGGAACCGGCTTTATGCGCTAATATTTAGGGTTACTGGGGTGAGAGTCCCACGAGATCCCCAATATGTGTTGCTGAATTGCCCGATTCCAGGACTGTCTAAAGCTTTGGATAAATTAATTACTTTCTTTTTGTTGGCAGCCAAAATAACCATAGCTAGGGCTTGGAAAACGCCAACAATTCCATTCCACTTGGTTAAACAAAAAATGTTGTGGATTATGGTCCATGAGAAACTCCAAAGCATCCTCCAAGATACTAAAAAAAGCTTTGAATTGACCTGGACCCCCTGGTTGTTATATACAGGGGTGCTGGAAACCGGGTAATTTTCATTGAACAATTTTTCTGGCATTTTTCTCTGGAGACTATGTTTAATGTTTAAGTAGATGTTGGGCTATTTGGTCGGGGATGGAGCTACTCTTTTCGAACTCTTAAGCTGTTCTGCGTCCTTTAGCATCTATTTCTATTTTCTTTCATTATGCTCGCACGCGTGAGCTGTTTAGTGCATTGATGTTGGACAGAAAGTCTTCTATTTATATAGATATGGAGGAGATCATAACAAATGTTTGCTGCAGACATAGGCGGATCCCTATGCCAGATATTCCTCTCAGACTGTTTTGAGTTTTGTTTTTGCTGATGGGGGATAAATTGGCAAGAATAGGGTGATAGATATGATCTGTTTTACAGAACTATTATATATTGTGTGTATGGCATCTAGTGACCCCCCCCTACTACTTGACTATGCTAATGTGGAAGAATCTGAAATGCAATTGTATGCTATACTGATTGTGCATCATGTGCTATTTTATTGTTTTATTCTACTTTGGAAAATAAATAAAATACTTTGAAAGTAAAAAAAAACATAGAATTGAAGGAGGGTGTACTTTCTTTTTCACATAACTGTACTTGCAGATGGTAACAGAACTGATGTGTTATTGCATGTTTTTAAGCACCTTTGTGTAGGGGCGTAGATACAGATCATAGGGCGCCATAGCAAAGTTTTAACACCCCGCCAAGCCTTAAAATCTAAATCACGGACAGGTAGCAGGAGAGCTGACATCAGATGTGCAGCATGAAATTATGCAGTCAGCTTTTCTTGATTGGAAATTTTAAAGGAGCTACAGAGCCAACCGAAACGTCTGTAGTCCTTCATGGGGCCCCCTCGGGCCCAGCAGCTGCTATCACTATTGTTACACCACTGCCTTTGTGTGTTCATTACTTCTACTAAGGTGTACGTTTAATAAACTGTGATAAAACTAGCTTTATCACGAGTTAACTTTACTCAGCAGATCTCTTGTTTTTCTCGGCTGCACAGAGGCTGTTTAATAACCTGCAAAAAGAAAACGTATCACACGAAACAGCTGTGAAAGGCTGAGATAAGTTATCACAGTGATCAGTTGAGAAAGCAATGTGGGGAATGTATTCTGAGCTGCACAATTACATCCTTTGTGATAATCTACAATCCTCCTGACAGGATCGTAGTTTAATCTGCCAAACCACCCAATAACAATATTACAAAGCACCGCTATAGCAAAGTGCAATAGTTATTTCACCATTAAAATTATGAAAATTGCTAAAAAGCAGGATTTACATGTTCTGATTTGTTCAGCATGTACCAGTACAAAAACATGAATCAAACTACCAGAGGCAGCAACAATGCGAGGCAGTGATGGGGTTAAACATTCTAAAGGGGCACTCTGATGGAGCCTAGCGATGTAAGTGGGCACTCTGACACATGCTGGAAATTAGAATGTTTGGTGTCCATGAAAAAAGCCTGCTGTCCCGAGATAGGTGCATCAGCACTGTGTGTGTGCAAACACACTAGCAGCAGGTATTAATGCATTATAAACGGCGGACCATGGTGGTGAAATGGTGTTACAGACTGTTATGTGTGGAGTGCAATGTTCACTGCATCTGCCTGTAAAACATGCTCCCCAGACATCCTTCAAGCTTAATTTGGTGGGCCTGTTTCTGAGGGAGAGTGAGACTTCAACAACAAGCCCTAAGGTCACATGACCTTACTGAACTTTCCCTCACACTACACAGATACAGTGAGGGGACTTGAAACTGCCACTGTCACTCTCATGAGGCAAGGGTGGCATTAAGACAAACTTCCCTCCTTTTCCCTCTCAAGGCTGTGACACACTGCAGGCGAAGC